CCCCAAAACCCCAAAACCCCAAAACCCCAAAACCCCAAAACCCCATTACGGTGAATCAATTGAAAGGTATTTATAATTACAATGAGTTTTTGCTAAATTTTGGGAGTTTGAAGTTAGAATCAAACTTTTTCCTGTACTCTACTGACTTTTTAAGAAGGGACTGGATAAGAGAGTTTCAGTTTCCGTCACTATAGAAAATTGTTAGACCTGGATCATACTAAAAATTATTCTCTATTAAGTTAATAACTAACACTCGGCTAAAGTTATTATCAGAATGAAAAAGTATCGAATAAGAAAATCAAGATATACTCAATAAGGTGACCTAAGAAGAAAATATGGCATTATCAGCTAAATTTTCAGATATCTGCCTATTCCTCCCCGAAAAGTCTGATGGTTTTGCTGAAAGCAAGGAGAACAAAAGTTGGGTGATCCGATAAACCACCTAACTGATAAATCGCCTTTTTGATTACTTAAAATACCCAAAATAGTACGAAATATCTGCTTAATAACTGCCTTAAAACCCCTTTAGTGTCATATATTCTCCTCACAATAGCCCAAATAGGCTACCACCTCACTAAAAATACTAAATCATATCATGGCTCGAAACTGGTGACTCCCCGTTTTTTATAAACAAGATGATTTCTAAAAATTCTGCTAAAAACCCTACCATAGCCCTATTCTAACCTATCCTAATCCCCCACAGTCAAGGACTTATCTACCTTTAGCCTCTTCTGTAACCCATTCTCTGGACTTAGCTTAGAGAGTGTTTTGCTAGGTTATTTTAAGTAGAAATATTAGTCCTAAAAATCCTAATAATGTGCACAAAGTCTTAAAGAGAATGGCTTACTTTTTGATTTTGAAGTTGGACAAGGAGTATGGGAACGATAAGGCTTTTGATTGCCGCTTGATTGGTCTTTTGGTGTCGGTCTGGGTGACTAGAGGGGGCTTGCTTGGGAAGAAGGAAGGTTGTGAAGGAGAGGTCGGTTCTGACCGAATTAGGTTCGAGTTTGGATTTGGTGGTGAACTTGGGGTGAAGGGGGGATCTAGAGTTAGGTTAGTATCTCCAAAAATGCCTACAAAAATTCCCCAGCTAATTCCAAGCTTAAAGCTTGTTAAAGAAGTAACTGGATAATGGAGAAATATAAGGAGAGTGGGCGCCAGGAATGGTATGTTCAGGGATTTAGGGGTGGAGGATAAGTGAAGGGAGAGATGTAAGGGGGATTAGTGGGCTTGGGAGGGAGGAAAGGGAGGAGAGAGGGGAAATGAGAGGGTTTAGAGGGAGAATGAGAGGGTTTTGAGAGAAATAGAGGTGTTAATGATGATCTGAGGGTGAGAATTGGTGGAGAGTATTTTATTCACTTTTTATTTTTCTTCCTTGATTTTAGTTTCAAATTTTTATCTAAGTACGTATTTTTAATGAAGTTAAAGTACAAGCAGCCAGATAATTTCTACCCCATTATATAACATCAACTTCGCATGTATATAGCATCACAAGATATAAAACTTAAATATGATTTATAATATGAAAAATAGTAAAAATCCGACCTTCTTGATGCTGAATCTGTAATATCTTATCAATTTTGTCCTGTTTAAATACTATCAATGAGTCTAAGCCCATAAAATGTATCTGATTTAACTTTAAATCGCATTCAAAAGCTTTCAGCCCCAAAATGTGTGCTAATTAAAACCTCTCCACTTATTTAAGCTAAATATGAATAACATTTCTTCGAATTAAAGGAAGAATTTAGAAATAACTTGGCAAATTCACTAAATCGTATATTACCTGGGCTTTTTTGATTGGATGGATGAAACAAAGAGTATCCTCTCTTTTCCTCTGATGATATATTGTCTATATTTACAAGGTTAGCCTTATAAAGGTACTAAACCATCAGTTAGAAATCCTGTCAGCAAAATTACAACAGATGATTCATCAGATTCTTATTTAATAACCTACTAAATTTCAGCAAATCTCAAAGCTCAGAATCGAATATTAATAAGCATGAGTTGATCTTATTAGCAGATAAATTCGCTTGGAATAATTTGAGGAAACTTTTACCAATTTCGTCAGCTTAAAAGGGTCACCTCTAAAAACAATTCATTTCTGTTCGCAGATGAATTTACTGGTGTTAGACAATTTTATATAAAAATCTACTACTCGACATTAATACTATTTTTCCAGTCAATCTTCATATTAACCGCTATCTCAAAACCTCAAGTTCTAAACCCACAGCCATATTTCAATAAGCACCCTTATTTCACTAAAAAATCCACGAATCATCAGAATCCTTCCTAAAAGAAGAATCCAATGCCTGACTGTATTGCTGTTTTAAGAACCAAACTAACAAATTGTTAAACTTAGTTGTAAAAGTAATGAAATTTTAACAAATCTAGGTGAACTTGTTCTGAGAGGCAAAACAAGAGTAAACTGAAAAGAGAAATATGAGAAGAGGCTTACTGTGTTTAGGGCTGAGAGATGGAGGCAGCAGGAGATCACGAACGTTTGGCAGCATTGGTACAGCCTTAGGGTTGTTCCTTTGGAGACGTGATGGAGAGTTCTGAACTGAGTGAAATTTTATCTTTTTGAAGGAGTGCTCTTGCTCGCTGAGTGAAGAATCAGTACGTTTGGAATCAAGTCCTGGCAAGGATAACTCTGAATTGTTGGTACTGGAAGGATATCTTTTTTTAGAAGCTTTCGTATTAAGATTTCTTTCTATTTCCTGTCCTGACAAAACCCTCTTCACTGACATTTTCCTACTTTGAGATTTCTTCATTCTCCTAAAAAAATTATATTCTTATTCTAAAAATCCCCTCATTCCATCTCAACAGTGATTAAACCTACCTAATCCTATTAATCTGTGCAGCCAGTTTGTCTTTGACAATCCCTTTGCTCTGATTTTTCAGAGATTTGCATTCTAATCTTTCTTTTTTAAGATCAACTCTTCGAGATATAGAGGTTGACTTAGCCAATATGAATTCAGCGCTTGGAAGTACAAACATGTGTGTTAATAAGTATTTATTTCAATATTTAACACTAACTTGGGGTTTTGGGGTTTTGGGGTTTTGGGGTTTTGGGG